TACAAAAAAAAAAAAGAAAAGAAAAGAAAGAAAGAAAAAGAAAAATTAGCTGGGTGTGGTGGTGTACATCTGTATTTCCAGATGCTCAGGAGGCTGAGGCGAGAGGACCACCTGAGCCCTGGGAGGTTGAGGCTGCAGTAAACCGAGATCACGACACTGCACTCTAGCCTGGGCAACAAGGTAGAAGTGAGATTATCAATGTGGATGGGAACATTGGAAGAGGAAGCTGAATTTTGAAAGATGAACAAGTTTTGGGTAAATTGATTAAAAAGCCATAAATATTGTGGCTGACAATGACACAAAATTTGGCTTCAGTATAGAAACAAGTTAGAAACTATTGGGAGGTTAAGTGTGTAAAAGTAAAATAAAGAGCCATCAAGGTAGGCTGGGGAATTTCTACTTTACCCTGTAAGCAGCAGAAAAACCACTAGTAGTTTTTGAATAGGACATAATTAGAAAAATAATTTAGACATGATTTTGGTGGCTGTGTGAAGGATGAATTGGGAAAAAATGCATAAGGCAGTGGAATGGATGGAAGACTGCTGTAATATTCAAGTAAGTTGTGATGTGATACTGGACTATAAATGGGAAAAAAAATTTAGATATCTGAAACTTTTCAAATGTAGAACAGATAGAACTCAATGATAAAGGATGAATGAAATGGCTAGGTAAAGATGTCAGATTTCTAATTTTATCAGCAGAAAGGAAATTTGGGAGGAAGGTGATTGTAGAGAATGATCATATCAAATTTAGGCATGATATATATATACATATACTACATGTACATTCCTGAACACAGCCATAAATATACTAATCTACTGACTGCTGACAGAGGGATTACACGTAAACCCTGATTAAATATTAGGATACATAAAAAATTGGGAAGTTATATGTATTATGCAATAGAGAATCTGATATGGTATGTATGCACAAAATTTAAAAATCTCATTTTAACAATTAATTTCAAGGTCACCAAACTTTTCCAAAACTGCATCCTTTCCTTTGTCAAGGCACTACCAAGTGGCAATGAAAGGAAGAGATCCAGAAAACATGGACCTGGATAATCTCTCTCAACTAGACAGGATTAACTTGTTTACTGATACTTTCTTAAAGTATTGCAATTTATTAATTTATAATAAGTTACCATATTGTAGACTCCCTTTAATGCAACAAGATAATTTGTGCTATTGCTTGGGATTTGAAGCCAGAAAGATAGATTGCTGTAGAAGAGTACCATGAGAGGCAGGGTTCAGTGGCTCATGCTTGTAATCCCCACCACTTTGGGAGGCCAAGGTGGATCACCTGAGACCAGGAGTTAAAGACCAGCCTGCGTAACAAAGTGAGACTTCACCTCTACAAAAAAAATTTTAAAAATTAGGTAGATGAGGTGGTGCACACCTATAGTCCCAGCTAGTTGGGAGGTTGAGGCCAGAAGATCCACTTGAGCCCAGGAATTTAAGGCTGTAGTGAGCTATGATGCCATCACTGCATTCCAGCTTGGGCACCAGAGTGAGACCTCGTCACTTAAAAAAAAAAAAGAGTATCATGAGAACATGAACAGATAGTTGGAATTACAAGCACAAGCCATCACATCCAACGTGCATGGAGTTTTCACTTTCACTGCTCCTCTTTTTTTTGTTTATACATTGGACTACAGTGCTTCCCCTCTTTGTTCTCTTTTGATGTGAACAGAATATTTTTTATAACTTTTCTAGAAGACTTCTAATGAAGTAAAGGCCTTTTGGGAATAGTAGCACCCACTAATAAAGAGAAACCAACCCATCAATCTTCAAACAAATGGAGAGAACTTCTTAGTTCAATCAATGAGCACAACTGTCTTAAAATAAGGACGCTACCAAAACCTAAAATGCAATAAAATAAATAAATGGGAAAAAAAAAAAAATAAGGACGCTAAGAGCCAATAAATTTAGGCTGGACTGCTTTTCCTTTCTTTGCACCCAATACCAATACACTGGGCGCTGTAACTCACAATTCAAAATTGTTTAAATTGGAAGTTTGGTTAGAACACTCTTATAAAATTATTTAACAAATACGATTTTTACTTTAGCATACATCAACACGCAAATACCATAATAAAATAGAAGTTGCCATTTCTAAGTTACTTTAGCCAATATTTAACCTTTTTGAGAAAAAAAATACTACATCAAGAGTAAGTTTGCCATGGGCATCAATCTCACAGAATTTATGATACAGAGGAACTTTTAAAAATTACTACAGCCAATAAAAATGAGCTTAGTTGGTCTGTCAACGATGAAGTGAGCAAAAAAGAAAAAGGCTTGGTTCAAGCAGTAAAAAATATTTGTGAAAATGCAAATAGTAGGTTAACAATAAAATCTGAAAGCTGCAGGCGACCTCAATCATTAGTAACACAGTGTGCTACAAATAAAGACTTACAAGAGTATCTAGACAACAGCAGGGCCCTTCTGTAATACCTCCAACTCCCTCCTTCTGTACTCTTTCCTTAGCAATGGGTTTGCTAAACTGCAAAGTCCTCCATTAAGCCACTGGGGGGAGTTTTCTGATTTAGGACTGGCTTCCTGGGTTCGTTCTCTTTTCCTCAGAAAATTCTGAATGAGACCTCAGACCTGTATAGTCTGGCTATATAGTCCTAAATTTTCTCTTTTCCTCCCTTTCCTGAAATTAAGCACATATGCCCATGATATGTCAAGGTTTTACTGCTTGTCAGGAAGACAATGGGTGCAACAAAAATAACTAATGGAGGGTTATGAAAGTTCTAAGAATTAGCCATTTAAATGTCTCAAAACTCAACTGGATATTTTACATATAAGCAGAATACTGAATGGGATGATTCTCTTTAGCAGGGAGAAGTCACATGAAGTCTTTATGTTGTACAATTCAATATAAAGACGTCAGGATCAAGGTATTTCAGAGCAACTTATTTTTTATCTATTGTGAGACGGAAAGAGTATTCAATTGGGAATTAGAAGACCTGGTCTAAATCTGGCTTTACTATCTTGATTGATGATCCTAGATTAAGTCACAAAACCTCACTGGACCTCAGTTTATCTGAAAAACAAGGATGTTGGGTGAGATCAGTAAGCTGCAGAATCACCACTCTGCTTTCATGTAAGGCTGAATCTATGAAAAGGGGATCCAAACAAACCCTACTAGATCCTTTTTAACTCTAAAATTTCTTGATACCAGGATTGTAAATCAGCTTCTAGTATGCAGCAGCACGTTGTTAGCCTATTTGTAGTTACTGTATGAGTACATGTAGCTCACTTCTGGTTTTCAGTGATCAGTAATGTGAGTCCAAGAAAGAAATGTGACAGTAGTTCTCTTACTTGAAACTTTGATGGGACATGAGAATCTAAAATTACACTGAATTACACAGAAAAAGCAAACAAATTAGCTACTTTTGTTTAACCCTGAACTTATTTGTTTGTATCAAACATTTCTCCCTAACGTGCAAACTACAATTAAAGATCACTGAATCTATTAAACATAAACATCTTTCTAAACATAAAACATCAATTAACAAATGACAGAAACTCAGCTGGTATTACAGACCTTTTGCCTAAAAAATTCTGCAACTCTGAACTTTTCATTACATTTGATCTTTTTATCACAAGTGATGTATTATAGAGTTTCTGATTATCTGGAAGGATAAACCTGAGGTACTTTCTAGGTTAGTATGTTTTCATAAATGTGTTAGGATGCGTACAAGTAGTACTCTAAAATCTCCCACAAACATTTTACACAGCCATGCAGAAAATTTCAAGGACGGAAAAATAAATGTCACAATTTTGCAGTATGACAAGTAGATTTTTAATAATCAATCCTCAAATAACAGAAAGTAAATTGCTATACTCTCCCTAACTCCCAACCTAATAGATTATTTACTAAATAAAGAGCTGTTAATCTTTCTTCTGCATATCAAAGAGTGCCTAACAAAAACCAAAATAACAATCCAACCTAAATCCTTCATCCTAGGTAAGGAGTAGAATAGAAGGGAAGGGTTACATGCCAAACACTTTTAATAACTCCTAATAAATAAGTTGACTCGCCTATTATTTTCACAGCAACCTTATGAGGTTTTTTTTCTTTCTTCCTTTTGAGGTAAATATCCCTTCTTACAGATGCAGAAATTGAGGTAAAAATTAACTTGCTCAAAGTTACTGAGCCAATAATTGGTGGAGGCAGGGTACAAACAGGCAGTCTGGCTCAAGTTTTAGCTCTCTGCCACTGTCGCTATATTACTCCACTGCCTCTGTTTAACATAAGATCAAAACTAAAACAATAGCAGCTATTCAAAAGGTGAATTATATAACCCTTATAACAATATTAAAGAGCAACTGGACTTGTAAAACAATGAGTATTAAAGGGCATAAAATCGTACTGTCAAGTGCAAACCTAAGGAGTTCAGTAAGTACAAATCTGACAATTTCAACATACAATCCAATAAAATATTGTATACCCATGTCAGAAGAGTAACACTAAGTCCTGAAAGATTAAGAACAGTATAATTAGAAACTTTTACTGATCTTAAGACCTAGTCTGATCTATCTGCCTCTTTCTAATTCCCTTCTATACCCTGCTCGGAACTACTTTATTTCTGCCAAATTGCGAAATTTCAAATTTGATGATCATGTGTGTCTTTTTCATATCACTTAAAAACTTTCCAGAAGAATTTTAACTTGCATAGCTCAAAACACCTGTAGTGTAAGCCAATAAATTGATAAAAAAAAAATGAAGGGATAAAATGGAAGACAGAAAAAATCATTCTTAGCAATGGTAAGGAACAGAGAGACAATGAGTATAACAATTTATGGTAAGTATAGTAACAATTTAATACATGTGATCAATTTATGGAGGCCTTATGAAGATTTCTCAGCACATCAGCTGATGAGACGACTAATAAATATCCTGAGTCCAAGATGTTCTACATAATTAATCCTCTTGGGAAAGAACAAGAACGGGGGAAAATCGCAAGGAAGAAATTCACAAATGACATGCATGTGGAATAAGGGAGGGATGTTATGTAGGTTACGAGGATGACACACTGGCACGCGAAAGGTTTCAGGGAGCCACCAGTTCCTTGCAGCACCGAGGTCGTGGTTGTTTACACCACGTCGCCTGGAAAAAAGCCGGCAAGCTTCAAAAGGAGTATTAAGTTAATAATATTGAGGGGAAAGATGGGCAACGCAACTGAATATCTGGATGAGCAGATCGCCGCCTGGGCCCCGGAGCAGCTGACCAAGTCCAGATCATTCTCCCCTACGGTCTATGCGCACAAAGAACCAGCTGCTTTAGGTCAGTCCTCCGCCTCCTGCTACCCCAATTACCGTGGCCTTAATTTCAAGATAGCTAAGGCCAGAAGATGGGGTGAAGGGAGCGGAGGTGCCTCGGGAAGGGTCAGTGTCTGCGCCCCAGAGGAGGCTGACCTCCCAGCTCAGGCCCGGGACGGCACGACCACAGGAACTCGGGGCCGGCGGCCGGATTCAGAGCACGGCGCCTCCTTCCTTCCTCTGCTGCTCCACTACCACCTCCGTCTCTGTCTCCGCCGTCACCAACACCGCCCCCCCCTCAGGCCCCTCACAACAGCTCAGCGTACAGCCAGCTGCCTAGCGGCGGAATCTCTCCCCACTTCGCCCTGCTTTCGCGCGCCCTTTTAGGGAGCTTTCCCTGCTCCTTCCACTTTCCAGCGCGCTGAAGCCCCCTGCCCCAGAGCTCGGCTTTGCTACCTGGATCCGTTTCTTGTGTCTCCTGCGTTCCGCCATGTTGGCTGCTCCGCCCGATTCCCTCTGACGTGGAGCGAGGAGGGGGCGGTGGAAACCTCGCGAGAGCGCGCCTCGAGATCCGTTATGTAACCAGCCGGCTGGCGCCGGGGGAAGGGGTGGTCGGCCGCTCGGCTGGACCTGCGCTAGTTGGCGGTGCTTGCTCTCGTCTGTTCCCTTCGCTCCTGTTGTGCGGGAACTGGAGAATCCCCAGGAGGAAGCAGAGAAGTGGATCAGAGAACAGGAGGGCTGGGAAGAGTCGTGGTTTCTCAAACTTGACTGAGCATCTGAATCACCTGAGAAGCTACTAAAATGTAGATTCCCCGACCCCACCCCCTCAGAGTCACATTCTGTGCATTTAGGGTGCGGCCTTCCTCAGAGGGATCGACTGAGACCTACCGAATCCGAGAAGCCTTTACCGGAGGCAGTTCCTGCAATATACTGTAAATTTCATCATATTCCATGTAAAAGATGACAAGACCGAGACCGTGGAGGGCCAGAGATACGAACTGACTTATCTAAGGCTCCACAAGTGGTAGACGACAGAGTCGTCTAGACCCGAGCCAACTATCTTTTCCCATGCAATGTGCGGGGTAATACAGCTCGCTTTGAACAAACTGGAGTCACCATTCCGTTTTCCGGGTTGCTTCTCACAACTCACCGTTAGAATCTAGATGTCAGAGAACCCAGGGAAGTGTAAGGAAGATGAATAGGACAAAGATTCTAAGCAGATGGGAAGGAAGAAGGCTGCAGTCTATTTCAAGTCTGGCGACTTTCAATTATTGTAGCCTTTGTTGTTATTTTAGAGCCACCTAGACCAAAGAGAGGGAGCGTAAATTGCTGGTTAAGTGCTTAGATAGAAATTCCCATGACTGACTTTATGGAGATCTTTAAAGAGTTTTTAATTGAAGAAAATTGGAAAGATTCAGAAAAGAAAGATGTGTTCTTTTCTTTTTTGTTTTCCTCTCTTTCTTTCTTTCTTCTTTCTTTTGACTGAGTCTCGCTCTATATTGCCCAAGCTGGAGTGCAGTGGCGCCATCTCGGCTCACTGAGTCATGCAACTCCTGGTCTCAACTGATCTCCCTCCTCGGCCTCCTGAGTAGCTGGGACTACAGGCATGCACCAATACACCTGACTAATTTTTATTTTTTTGTGTGTGGAGATGGAATTTCCTTATGTTGCCCAGGCTGGTCTTGAACTCCTGAACTCAAACGATCCACCTGTTTCTGCCTCCTGAGTAACTGGAAACTACAGGCGTGAGCCACTGTGACTGTTCGGTTTATTTTCTTATAGTATTTATTCCGACTTTGTGTGTGTGTATTATTTATATTTTTCCTGTTTCCCAAATTGAGATCATATGCAATATAGCAGCTGCTTTTTTCACTTGTTAGGTTATAAGCATTTGTTATACCATTAAAATTTTTTCCAGGTTTTCCAGGTCTCCCGTATTATATAGCTAACCTAAGAGCAATTAGATGTGTCAGTAAGGCATATTGCAGCATCTTGATGCCTAATTTTTTAATAAAGTAAGATTGCTGAAGTTTTGGGTTTTTTTTTTTTTTTTTTTGGACTATGCAGTTCTGGTCTTGGGATTCATTTAATTCCTTTCTCCTCTATAATCTATAATTTGGGTGTGTGTATAGTCAGAGATTGGGTGGGAAATAAGTAATTTTTCTTACCAATTAACCCAAAACATAATATAGAAGATGAAATGTCTTTATTTCCTTCAATCCCTCTACCCACCCATAACGATGGGTCTGTATTGTGCTGTTTTATTTGGAGAACACCGGACCATTTTATAGGAGACCTGGTCTATAAATGAAAATATTATTGCATTCAGTGGGTATTGAGTGCCTTACTAGATAGATGTCAAATGTCAGGTTAGGACTATGGTGGGGAATAAAAATCCTTTATGGACAATGGCTCACCCTCAAATTACTGCCCTACTATTTTCTTCATCAGCAGAGTTTTAATTTAGTGTCCCCATTTTCTCATTGTCATTCACTCCTTATTTAGACTACAACAATTTGGTTTCTACCTCCTCCATCTGGTAAGAATGATTTTGTTAAATCTAATACCTCCTTTTAGCTAGCATCTTACTCAGTATTTGACAATTCTGACTGTTCTTCTTGAGTTATTTTTCTTCTTTGGCATGTATATCAACTTCTTTCTGATTTCTCATTGGTTTCTCTCCTTATATCCAATTCTCACGTGTTCTGGCCATTGTTTTTATATGTTCACCTTCCTCTTGTCTCTTCTGTTTGTGCATTCTGTTACAGATTAATTCCAAAATACTGCATTCATGTTTATTTACAGATTTCTTCTGGATATTTTTACTGGATGTCCAACTAAAAATCACCATTTCCCCAGCAAAACTTGATCCTTTTACTGTAAAACTCTAATAACTGCATTTTTGCTTACTCAATTACTCATGCTAGAAACCTTGGATGTATCTCAACTATGCCTTTTGCCAATTGGTTACCAATCCTGTTGATTCTATAGCTGAGATGTTTGGAATTCTTCCCTCCCTCATCATTCCCAATGCCATTGCCTTGTTCAAGTCTTTATCATTACCTGTGTGAACTAGTATTGCAGTGGCCTCCTAATTGTTCTCAATTCTATGCTCTTGACACTCCAGACCTTTTGCTCCCTTGTTAAAAACCCTCCCATGACTCCCCATTGTGTATAGTAGCATGAGTGATGGCTTGTGTTTACACATATAACCTCAGATTTCTGGGTCTCCTTTCCATTTAATATTTATGTAAAAATAGTTAAGATCCTCTTCCCAGCACACCATCTATATCATTTATGGTGGTAGTAAGGAGTTTCTCCACTTCTAGTTCCAACTTACTTTTGAATTTACAGCTTTACTCCTGTCATTCATTTGACTGTTATTTCACTCCCAAATGAGGAGTTTTTGTTTTTTGTTTTGTTTTGTTTTTTGAAGACAGGGTCTTGCTCTGTTGCCTAGGCTGCAGTGCAGTGGTGCAATCTCAGCTCATTGCGACCTCTACCTCCTGGGCTCAAGGGATTCTCCCACCTCAGCCTCCTGAATAGCTGGAACCACAGGTTATGGCACCACGTGCCACTTGAATTTTTTAATGTTTTGTAAAGATGGGTTTCTCCATGTTGCCCAGGCTGGTCTTGAACTCCTGGGCTCAAGCAGTCTGCCTGCCTCAGCCTCTCAAAGTGCTGTGACTACAGGCATGAGCCACCCCACCTGGCCCCTGTTCTTTCTTTTGTCAAAACAAAACTCTTAGTTACAAGAGACTTTACTGGAGGTTTTTGAGGAAAGAGTTATGTTCATTCATTAAACAAATGTTTATTGAGGGCTTATTATGTGCCAGTCCTTGTTCTAGGCACTGAGGATATACTAGTGATCAAGAGGCAAACATCCTGCTCTTGTGGAGCTTATATTTTGGGAAGAAGAGAGGAGACTGTAAAACCCAAGAAAGCAAATCATATGGTACAACCATCCCTCAGTATCAGCTGGGGATTAATTCCAGGACACCTGTCAAAAATCTGGAACAGTGAATGACAGTGAATAAATCTGGATTAGTTCTAGATTTTTGATATCCAAATCTGCAGATGCTTAAGTCCCACATGTGAAATGATACAGTATTTGCATATAACCTCTGCACATTCTCTTGTATATGTTAGATCATCTCTAGATTACTTATGATACCTAATACAACATAAATGCTATGTAACTAGTTTTTATACTATATAACTTTAAAATTTGTATTATTTTTGTTGTGGCATTATTATTTTCTGGTTTTTTTCCCCAAGTATTTTCAATTGGTTGAATCAGCAGATGTGGACCCTCAGATAGGGAGGGCCCATTGTATGTTAAAAGGAGAGAAACAAAGCAGGGTAAAGGGACAGCTTGTAGTGGGAAGGAGGGTGTAATTGTAGCTTAAATGATCAGGGCAGTCCTCTTTGAGGAGATTTCTTTGACCAAAAAAGGCATGAAGGAGAAGAGGGAGCAAGTCCAGTGCATATCCTAGGGAACTGCACTTAAGGTGGAGTGAACAGCATTTACAAAAGTCGAGAGGTGAGAGATTGCAGAAGTGTTTGAAGAATAGTATGGAGGTCAGTGGCTGAAGCAGATTCAAAAGAGGAAGGAGAGTAGGGGATAAGATCAGAAGGGAAATGGGGCTAGATTGCATAGGGTTTTGTAGGCCATTGTAATAACTTTGGCTTTTGAGTGAAATGAGGGCTTTCAGAAGTGCCAAACTGGATTAGGGTTAGAAGAATGACATAAAATGGCTTCTATTTAGAAAGGATTCTGACTGCTGTGTTGTGAATAGTTTGTGAGAAGGGGTAGAGTGATAGAAGTAGGAACTTAGTAGGTTATTGCAGCAAACAGGTGAGAGATGATGATGGCTTAGACTTGGCTTAGTCCCGTGTTTGCTATAGAAGTAGTGGGACGTTCTTGGATTCTGATGATGTTTTGAAGGTAGAGTTACTGAGATTCTGAATATGAGGGGAAGAGAGGAATCAAGGCTAACTCTAAGATTTTTGGTTTGACCAACCAGAAGGATGGAATTTAACTTACTAAAATGAGAAACATGAGTGAAAGAAGTTTGGTATGAGAAGAATAGGAATTTAGTTTTTGGTGTGTTAATGTGAAGAAGCCTAATGGACATCCAAGTGGAAATGTGGAATGTACAGCCAACTATATCAGAAGTAGAGGTCAAGGGAGAAGTCTTGGCTGGAGGTTTGGAAGTTGAATGAGATCAGAATATGTCACCCTAAATATGCCTCTTCGGCATAAGGATAATTTTGATCTGAAGGCAATTGAGAAAATCGGACACAGGAAGAGCTCTCTGCCTTTATCTGCCTAGAAGCAGAGCATAATTTCTCACAAAGGGTCCCCATTCTTCTCCCACACCAAAACAAGGAAAATAACCCTTATCACTAGAAATGGAGACAGCACCAAGATGAGTCTGCACAAAGAAACCTTACTGTAATCCTTATCCACCATTAGTTTCCCCTATATTTTTATATTCTCACAGTTGACCACTTCTATAAGCCCAAACCCCATTTTCTTTATGTAGTTACTTCTCCTCAATTTATCATCCTTTGTTAAGATGGTATATAAGCCCCAAAGTCTAATCACTTCTTTGATTTTTCACTTCTTTTCCATGAAGCTCTCATGAATGGTAAAAATATTAACATCAAATAAAATTGGTATGCTTTTCTTCTGTTAATCTTTTTGTCAGTTTCATTCATAGGCCTCAGGTACAGAGCCTAACAGGGTAGGGAAATGTTTTTCTTCCCCTACAGAATTACCAGTGCATAGATGGTATTTAAGTCCAAGAACCTGAGGGATCACTTACCTTCTCCCACTCTCCAGGACATCTCACAGGCTTCTGCTTTTCTTCTCACCTCCGTAATCCTTTCTTCTCAATCTTTCTTGCTCGGTTCTCCACTTCCACTCTTCTTCTTCCCAGTGTTAGAGTGTCGTTGGCTTTCCTATCTCTTTATATGCTTTAATCCATAACATAAAGCCACAACTTAAATAAGAAATATTAGGTATTGATATCTAGGAGTTACTGGCGATCCCTGTAGGCCCACCTCATGTCTTTTCCCACTGTTCCTGACTACCTACTTTTCTTCACTCCTTCTAGAATATTTCTCACCCTTCTGAATCTTTTCTCTCTGCCCCTGAGCTCTGTTACTTTTCCCTAGGGTTGCCTCTGAAATTCAGATTTTTCCTTGTTTTATACAGTAGACAAATTGGGCTCTTTACTCTCTTGGATTTCTTTGTACACATTTTTGTAAATTAAGAAATTCATTACCATGTTGTGCTAAACAAAGCATTCTCCAATCTAGACCTCTCTCTGGAGGACTGATGAATAGGTAGGAA